GGGATGCCAGGGGCTCAATGGGGAAAGAAGAAGTGAGTAAGAGGATGGAATGATAAGAACAGAGAGAGGGGGGGAGAGGGAGAGAGAGAGAGAGAGAGAGAGAGAGAGAGAGTAGGAGGAAGAAGAGGAAAATGGAGCAATACTGACATTTTTAAGCTCTGAAAAGAAGACATCACTTTCTGGCCAAGTTTCTTTTTTTTTTTTTAAAGGAAGCCCTGCCTGTTTTCTGCCTGACATACAGCGTTTTCATAGTAACAGCTAAAAAAAGCAGCCTATAAATGCTCACAAAGACATAAAGTAGAGAATATAGACGAACCACAGTTGCTGCTCCAGATTTTTTAGGACTCTCCGCTGCAGATAATCTGCATATGACTGGGATAAATTCAATTTAATCCGCCTCCCCATTTGATCAGAATTGTGGTTAGCTGTAGTAAAACAGCAGCCGGACTCTGAGGCTGTAGAGTCCTGTATTAGAGTTACAGTGGACGGAGACAACTCTTGTGATTGAAGCTCCATATAATGCTGTGAGGACTAGTTAAAAAGTTAAGTTTTCTTAAATATGTGACAGACCCAGTGATGGAGAAGAAAGACTCAGAATGCAGTAGTACTACAACAGAAACGCAGGTGAAAAATATCACATATAAACCTATATATTATATGTATGTTGTCTACAATGTTTAGGAATGTCAAAGAATTTATAAAGAGCTACTGCAGTTATAACACATGTAACTAGAGACGTTTATGAATCAATCAGATTAACGCAGATTAACAACATAATGTCAGTAGCCAGGCTTTTGTTTTTTGTTTTTGTCTTTTTCATCTGGGGTGGGGTGAGTGGATTCTTTTATATATGACTGTGAACACCTTGTTATAATGTATTAAAATACACGTTGGTAAGCTGTAAAAAACTCAATAAATACATGTCTATAAAACGAACGACGTACTATGCATCAGTAACACGAAACTTAAAATACACAGTCGACATACCTTGTTATTTATACACACTGCGGTGAAAATAATTAGTTTCACAGACGCAACTTCAACTTAAATACCACCTACATACTGTGGACTTACTGACATCAGTACATACTGTGTGTATCTTTGAATAGTTGAACATGTGCGTGTACTTCAATCATTTGCGTACGCCTGTGTTTTTCGCTACATCAGACTTTAGGAGTTTCATGTCTACCTGATTCTTGAACTGCTCCAGTGCCATATCTGCCTGCTGGATCTGCAGCCCGTGGCTCTCCCTGGCTCTGTCCAACTGGCTCTCCATCTCCCTTTAACACACACACACACACACACACACACACACGAGCAGAGATGAATATACTGTACATAGAAATGCAATTGCAGACCAGAGTCCAGAAATACTTAGAGGACATGTGGAAGTGAAGTTTATTTTTAGAGCATTTTTTTAGATTTAAAATAGTAGTTATAAAGTCATTCTCAGAAGGAGACATAGTAAGGCAGAAAATAGACGGATGTGGAAACTTATGACAAACGTTAGGCGCCTGCCGCTCAGGCTGCGGATATGACACAGTAAAAAATGTCACTGCAGACGGCAAAAGGTTAGAGAGTTGACTGTAATGAATTGCCTCTGATTTCTTTGTACTGTAAATACACTCACTATTGGAGTCACTTCTGCTCCATTATTGCTGCAGAGAATGAAGCCAAGTCATCGTTAGCATGCGAGCGCACAGCCAACATCAATTCTCCAGGCACATCTCCCACCATGCGTGTGTTTTAATGCAGATTTGCTGCTGCTGCTGCTGCTGGTATCGCTGGCACATGTCAGGTCACAGACAGAGGAGGACAGGTTTGTACTGAGAGCTGTCACAGCCCAGTCAGGAGGCCCAGCAATAACAGCTCAGTGCAGACAGCACCTGATACACAACAGCCTTCAAACCCAACGCAAGCAGAGGTGTGTGTGTGTGTGTGTGTGTGTGTGGGACAGGTCGAGCATATGCAGAGTAGAACAATATGTCTCATATGAATTGTTAAATGCAAATTATTTCCCAATGAAGAACTACAGGGAGCCACGCACAGGAGTCAAACTACTGACCCAAAGTTCACGGCTTGTTTTAACGTAATTTTCAGCCAATAATAAAAGGAAACAACTGTCTTTACAGACAATGCTCCTCTTCACTCACAAACACGGCAAGTAAACACATTAGTCACACTAAAACACACACATGACTCGTTTATGTCTTGGACAAAGACATTGGGATGAATAACTGTCTCAGCATGTGCTCACAACAGACACGATTCACTGACTCCTACTGTTGGTCATATGATGTTCATACCAGAGGTTAACAGGAGTCTAGAAGCATTAGCATGAGCTACAACACAAAATGTGCATTGTTATAAATTCACCCGCCCTGTGTGGTTGTCCTCCTAATTACTAATTACTATTTTTTATCAAACTAGGAAATGAAATTACTGATCAGTGCAGTGTCCCTGCAGAGGTTCAAATAAATCCAATTAATTGAAATTACATTTATTTGACTTTTTACGTCCTCCCACAATAATTACTGGTAATCTGATGACATTTATAAGTTTTGTCTGATTCTCCATCATTAGGATGTGTCACAGATTTTTAATTGAATTTGTAGATTTTCATAAACAACTTCATCTGAACTCTCAGGTTTCTGTGAACACATTCATGTAGTAGGAGGAATTGTAACCCAACAAAACACAACATAAAACAAAACCATATCTCCTGCACATTTGTCACAAAGTGTACAACTTTTACAAAACTTTTCTTTCATGATTTCTCGCGAAACCCACAACTATGTGTCTATAAAGAAAGAACACTAAATGAAAAAGCAGAGGCAGTGGGACAGATGACATAAAAACAGCAAAAAGGAAGCAATAAAAAAAGGAAATAACAGAAGCTGAGAATTGAAGGAGGAATGTGCAAGCTTTCGCTCTTCTTTATAGACTTCTTCCCCTTTGTAATTTTGGTCTCTCTCATGTCGGACATCAAACGGCCAACAGATTGTTTTTTTTCCTCCACCAGTTTTGTGTACTCTGTAATTATTAATCAGCCTGGTTGCATTACTGCCTTCCAGGCCCAGACTGACACAAAGGATACGTGGAAAGGCTACAATGGATGAAAAGAAAAAGGCAGAGGATGACAGGAGGAGGTTGTTATAGAAATAGAAGAGCAGGGATTTTTGAAGGGAAGAAACAGTGTTTATATGAACTAACAGACGCTCCATGTGTGCATGTACATACAGACTCCACTGTAATTGAATTATGAAAAAAACTGCTTAATGTTCAGCTGCTCTTCCTGTTCTACCCGACACCATACCAAAGTGCCATAACATCGAAAGAGTCTTAACAAATTTGTAGTGGTTAATTAACAGTGTAATTAAATCAATTAAATCAATTTGTTTTGGTCAAAGTCTCAAAAAAAACCTGTACATCAGTGACCAACCTTCAAGTCAGACAACTTCAGAAATATTATGAAATCCAGATGGGTGTGATGGAAGCCTAGAACTACTGCTGATGCCATTATACTGTACATCTTACAAAATGACATTATTGGTCTAAATACAAACAAAAATATGCCTAAAGAGTTCAAAGACCAAAACAGCTAAAACACATTGCAAATGTAATTCATATTTTAGCCAGAAATATTTAGGTTATCAAAAAATGAGGGCAATTTTTTTTTTATTGAAAATCGATTAAAATGCTGTTACAGGAATCAAACAAAGACACAGAGATTACGTGTGGCATGAAAATGCCTTGAAATTTACTTAAAACAAGAAGAAGCCACATGTTAAGTCTCAGGATGCGATGACAACTTCACTGTAGCTCAGTGTGTGACATGTTAGAACTAACTGGAAGTCCAAAGCTGGTGGCAGCAGGTAAACACAGCACCTTCAGGGCCCTCGCAGAACAACTGTGAGTGTTGCTGAATGCGTGTGGTCAGTGGAAAAGGGCAGACAGTGTGTCACCATCAATAACAGAGCATTGTGGGTAAGATGAGAGGACAGAGAAAAAGAGTCAGGGAGGCCTGGCAGCCTGAAACAGAGAGGGAAAGGAAGGAGCGAGGGGTGCCAGCGCCCGGGCGACCGGCCGGCTTTAAATGGATCTCTGGTCAGGAAAGTGGAAGGAGAGCAGGCTCAAATTAAAGATGTGCCTTCTCTGGAGAGGAAGTTCTCTTCTCCCTCAACGCTAAAGCGCTGTTTAAAGGGGAGGAAGAGAGGGAGGCAGGCAGAGAGCCGTGTTTGTGCTGGAGTGGGTGAGGACCTTGCGCCTCCAGTCGCCCAGGCAGACAGGAGGGGTCCAGGGATGCCGGGCATTTTCCGGACTGTCCTGACCACATGGTGCCACATGCTGGCGGTATGTGCATGAGCGAGCACCGCATGCTGCATACAGACAAGTTACTCAATGCACAGTGTATGAATGAACGTCCAGGACATCAGTGCAACCAGATCTCTACCTCCGACTGCTTATGTAATTTCTTTTTTATATATATGCGACCAGAGTGTTTGAAAAGTGTATCGGCAGAGCTGTGGTTGGATGAAGCTTTTCAAACAGACTGAAATCATCGCTTGCCTCTGTGCGCCTCTGGTCTCTGGTATAAAAAGACAGGGAGTCAAGAGAGTGTGTGTGCACATGTGCACGGTGCTGCCCGCGCAGCCGCGTCTGTGAGCTCATCCAAACAGAATGATAACGAATCCACAGACACATCAAAGGGCTACGGGAAAAAAAGAGGGAGAACATAAAAAGAGAGCGAAAATGCAAAACTTAAATATTCAGCGCCCTCTGAAGCAAAAAATAAAATAGGCTCGGTTCTCATCCACATCCCCGGAGAAAGAGGAAGGGAGGGGAGGGATGAAAGAAAGAAGAAAAAAAAGAAGGAAAAGGAAAACTCAGAACAGAATAAGAGACAGACCACAAATAAATGAACACAAAAGAAAGACGGCACAAGGGCAAGAAAATATTAAAGACAGAGGAGAGGAGAGGAAAACAGAGAAGGATGAAGTGATGACCGAAGAAGTGACAACAAATGTGGTCTGTTTAGGAAGAGCATCTCACAGTGGGACGCCAAACAGAGTGGTCAGATACACAAACAACAAAGCTTCGCCTCTAATAAGTAAAATACAGAAGCCTCAGAATTCACGAAAAGATCCACAAATTAACTGACATCTAAAGTAAGATTCATCAAGTCTTCCTGAATTTGAATATTTCATAGTATAATTTTATTTAATTTACATAAGTACACATAAGTACTATATAGGTGTTTACCATTAAACTTATATTATATATATATATTCCTGTTTCAATAAACAAAAATGAAAAACTCAAAATAGAATTTTTTCAGCTGATACAATTTTTCTGCAAATGTCTTAGTCCCTGCCTTCTTAGCCTGATGACAACATTGCTACAAGGAGCAACTTAGAGTCCAAGGTCTTGCACAGACTCAGGCCACTCCGGCCCACATTTGACCTTCGGGCCACTACCTGAATAGGCCAGACCTGGTGAACATGTCCATAAATTTGGCCAACCTCCTTTGACAGCTAAGCTACACTCACACGGTCAAACCAACCCACCAGTCCTGTGGGACTGAACCAGCGATTAACCCGTCACCGTCTTCTCTTTTCAGCGTAGCTGCCGGGGGAGTCAAATATTGAACCTCTGAGAAGCTTTTCAATATTCAGGATCCATACATCCACCTGCTCCTGCACCTCAACACCACACTGAGGTTGAGGCTGCGCAGCCTCTGCTTAGCTACCCAGGATACCTCTCTCTGGACCACCTCTCTGAGTCTAGTCTACTCCACCCTCTGGTTCGTCTTCATGTGGCGCTTATATGGTACCAGAACAAATCTTCATCACCTTTGACATTGTTGATCTACTCAGATAAAGTATCTGGCCCGATACCAACCCTGATACTAGTATTGCTTCACCTCCATCATCCTGGGCAAAATCTTACATCGCAAGTCGTTAAACATCGCTTTTTAACGAAAACAGCTAACAAACAAGTGGGACAACCAACAGGAGGGATAGTGGAGCAAAGCCGGTTGGTGTTAATGCTCACACTGTCACAGTTTCCCTCCCTTATCAGCATGAGTGTGCTGTTTAAAGAGAAGCTGAGCTCACACAGCAAATAGCCGCTCGTAAACACAGGCACGTTTCCCCTCCGTCTCCCCACGGCAGGCGCTGCTTCTGCCGCTCCACACTGTAAACGATCAAACTGAGAAGAAGTTACTACTGAGACGCAGGGAGAGCTCCTACAAGCCTGCACCAAACCTCAGCAGTCACAGCTTTTGATAAAGCCAGTCAGATGCCAAGCTGCAGGAAGGAGGGATGATATGGAAGACGGTGTGGAATAAAAATGACTTCACTGAGGGGAAGAAAAAACAAAACAAAACCAGAGATATTTTCTCCTCCATTCAACCACGAAGAGGATTTTTCTGATGTTTTAAACTGGTGATTTGAAGGTCACTGTTGCAAACGCAGGCGAAGCTCTCCTTCGGGTGAGCCGCCTGTGTCTTCTGCCCCTGCTGCTGTGCATCCCTCCATCTCTATGCTAATGCCCCGTAATGATCTGAGGCGTAATGGGATGAAAGACGAGGAGACAAACTTGTCCTCCGCGCAGCTTTGTAGTTATTTCTTTTGTGTTGCTATAGTAACGCAGATCTGGAACAGAATTTAAAGCTGGGATGTTTATTTGCATGGCAGGACGTGGTGATTATCTTTTTATGCTAAAGAGAGAGAGGGGGGACAGGAGGGGAAAACCAGGGCAAATGGGAGATTTGGATAAAAGTTAAAAGTATATATGTTTTATTAAAACAAATGTGGATAACACTGCCAACACACACACACACACAGGCGTGCACATAGAGAGAACAATACACATTAACTTCTATTATTTTAAATGAACCAAAGAAAAACCCTGTGACTGACTGTCCAGGTCCAGGTTTGTCTTACGTGGTCCAAACCCTGGTTCCCTCCATAATCACCAGCCAAGATTAGTGATTCAGAGACGGAAAATATTTTATCTCCCAAATCTGTTAAAATTAGATTTGTCGAGGATAAGTTAACACACACACACACACACCCACAGTTTGCTCTGTTGCTAACAGGTCTAACAGACGCAGAGTTCTTACGAGTCCGTTTACTGAAGTAAAAACAGAGAAATACAACAAAGTAATTAATATAACAAATACAGGTGAGAATATGAGCCGTTGTTCTGGTTTAATGTTATTATACACACACACACACACACACACACACACACTGAGCAGTCTGGTGTGTGCTCTCCCTCCACCTGCCTGCTGCTGTGGCAACATCAACAGCCTTTAAAGGCGATCCAGGAGAACTTCAAAGCAGTCAAAGCAGGAGTGTGTGTGTGTGTGTGTGTGTGTGTCTAAGTGAGTGAAGCCAGAGTGCTTAATTAGCCAGGGGACCAATGGGCCACTCGCAGTGTCTCAGTATTTAACACTAAACGAGGAAGCGACTGATACTAATGAAAAGGATGATTTATTCACAACTGGATGAGTCTGTAGTGACAACGCTGTCAGGCTGACACCGACAACAGACAACAGACAACAGACAACAGACACGGGCGTCCGTGTATTTGTGGCTTCCATACACAGAGAAACACACAGTTTTAAAAAATGCAAATTGTACTTTCTGCTGGTATATATTGACAAAAATTCTATAAAATATATCCAGTCCTGACGACGAGTCAAAGCACGTACCATAACAAACCATCTGACCTGATGAAGGCCATTCTCATGTCTTATAACAAAGATATTATTAACACGTATTTGGGTCTTTTTTTTGACCACAGATTTATTATTGTAGGAACTGTTGTATTTTCTCAGTAAGATTAGGTTTAGGTTCATTTTGATGCCTGTTAATTGTAAAGCACTGACCCGTAAAACATCTCATCAGACTCTCCAGGGTCTCGGGTAACCCTGCTGGTCAAAGTTGTAAAAAAGATCAAAGGGAGTGTGTCTAAGTCCAAATCCAGAGCCATCGCAGAGCCCCACCGATCAAAGACTGAGGTCAGTCAACATAAGCAAATCTCCAATACATGGTTTGAAGGCACAAAGTCGTCGAGCTCACGACTAATTGTAAAATAAATGTCACGCTTCATTTACATTGAACACGTTGGAATTCTCATGACCAACAAGTCTCACGTTTCTGTACAGACAGTAATGAAGCAGAAAACCAGAGCACAAAGCCTGGCACTGTGTTTATGTAAGGACATCAGGGTTCAGTAGAACTGAGTTCTACACCCACTGCCTAAAGGCCAAGGTCAGCTCATCATCACCTGGACAAACAGGATGGAGGTGTTCAGTTCCCTGTGGCCTTGGCCTTTAATTGTGTGGCATGTGTCATGGTGAACAACAGTCAAGGCTGAAACCCTGGACGTTTCTGGGCCTCCTGTCAGAGGTGTGTTCAGAAACCTCAGTGAGTTTCACTCATGTGTAGAGTCACTGTAACTAAGGCCTCAAAGATCGGGTCAGAATTTTTTTGATGTAAAGTTTCTGATAATTTTCTGAACACAATTTGTCACACGTTGTCGTGATCCTTGAAGCCCAAACTTTCTTAGGTCAAAAATAGAAAGTCAAGTCAATGAAATGTTTGTCATGTTTGATGTGTCAGTCCTGACAGGGTGGAAATCATCACATGACACGTGTTTGGCCTCGACTTTACCTGAGCGCCTCCTCTAGCTTCTCTGTCTTCTTCTTAGCCTCAGATATCTCCTTCTCTGCTTCACTGTGGATGGTAAAAACCTGAGAGAGAGAGAAACAGTAAAGACGATCAGTGAGAGTCTGAGATAAAGACAGAGAGCGAAGCGTGAGTGAGTGCCAGAGCGGGCGCCATCAAACATCACTCAGCAGAACTGCGCTGCCTGTGACCTCGTGCATCTGCTTTGGTCTCTACTCTCTATCACCCCATCAAACGTACAGTCCTAGCCGATGTGCCCCCACACCGGGGCCCCTCACTCTCAGCCTATGGCAGCCATATGGGCTCCTCTTATGTCCAGATCCTTCGGCCTGATCTGTCTCACATATTTCTTTAGCACAACACGGGAGAGGAGGGGAGAGAGGGGGGAATTCCTGGAGGCAACAAAAAGTCAAATAAATAAACTGCTGCCTTCTCCTCCATACCCTTTACTCTCTCTGGTTGATTACAAGGTCGTCAACAGGTGGAGCTCTAACGCACTTGAACATCAAAATCAAACTTTCTCAAAGAAAAGTTTGATACAGACTGAACCTGAAGTGCACTGTTAGAGGACTGTTGAGTTTTTACAGGTGTTGTCAGTCACTGTGGCTCAGCCTATGCCAGCCTGCCACACACACACACACACCCACACACACACACACACCCACACACACACACACACCCACACACACACACACACCCACACACACACACACACCCACACACACACACACACCCACACACACACACACACCCACACACACACACACACCCACACACACACACACACCCACACACACACACACACCCACACACACACACACACCCACACACACACACACACCCACACACACACACACACAGTTAATTTCTGTGCTTTGAAGATCTCCCAGGTGCAGTACAGTCTTTAAATCTGAGCTTAATCAAAACCTCTGGCTTGAACTGGTTTAGCCCAGATCTTTACCAACGGCCTCTGTGGTTTTACGACTGTCCACTACAGCTGTGAAGAGGCTCCACCTACAGGAACTGAACATTAGTTCTGGATCGGAATTCTTTAGATCAGAAAAAACCATTTAGACATGCTGTTGTTTTTAATGACCAAACACAACTCCATTTGGAATTCCGGATCATTCCTAGGCTACATGTAGACTCTCTGTCTCTCATCTACGTGTGATCACAGCCCAAATATTTATGAGATCGGATATAAAAATGGGACTACGCTTTGATCCTACTCCACTACAACAACTTGGTCCTGAGCAGAAGTTCTTGGATCAGTTCTTTTTTTCGAAGGATCAAAGTGAAACGTTACCTTTTTCTCACAGCTTATCTGCATTTCGTCTTTTTGTTGCTGAAATTTTATCTCATGATCCTGAAAGGTAGAAAATAAAATAGAATTTTTTTGTTTTATTCTTCAACGACAACAAAATACAATTTCTGGAGCACTCTTCCTAAACTGTTACCCTGACTAGTTGATGTCTCCGATGTTCGCTGTCCAGCAGCTGCTGTTTGAGCAGAGAGACGGTTTTCTCAAAGTCTCCAAGCACCTCAGACGCCTGGACAAGGAAACAAAATTAAATCTTGTCAAGAAAAGTGTTGGAAACCACATGTGTAACATGGGAAAGTTGGAGTCTGGGAGCTTGCAGTAGTGATGTGGACCTTAGCAGCGGAGAGAGCGTGCTCGTGATACAAGTGGCTCATATCAGTCTCATGTTTGGCCTGGAGCTGCTGCACTGCCTCTTCATGCTGCTCCTTCTGCTGCTCCTTCTCCTTCTGCAACATCGTGACTCTGAAGAAAGTTAGGATTATATTAGTGACTTGTGGTTCCCAAGGTGGGGGTGGGGTCCTCTTAGGAGGTACGGTGTTATTGTACGGGGCATGGCAGGTCAAATTAACTTTACTAAGCTTTCCCTTTTTTCAGTGAGAAAATGCAACAGCTGTGAATGTTTCAACCAAAGGGGGGCGCTGCAGCTTTCCATGGCCAAATGTTCCTGTTGCTAAACAGAAAGCTGCTTTATTCATCGCTGCATTATTTCTGTGGAAATGGGAAAAGAGCCTTTATTTAAAAACATCGTCCCCTCCCACTCCCTCCCCTCTCACCGTCTCTTGGCCTCCTGAAGTTCGGCACTGAGGGATGCGATCTGGAGCTCCAGCTGGGCCTTCTCCTGTGACACCTTCTGACGCAGAGCGCTGCCCTTTTCCACCTCCACCGACTGATGTTTCACTCGCAGCTCCAGCTCACGCACAGTCTGCTCCTGGATCACGAGGACACAAGAACGACCCGCTGACATTATCCAGTGGAGGGGCTGGAAGTTATCCAACGTAACAATCACATCAACGTTTTCATGCTGGAGATGCTAAGGATGGAGTCAACAATCCATTGACTTTGATTCTGGTTTTAACTATCATGGCAAATAGCTGACTCAACAGATAAATCTTGGGAAAAAAAGTTGAATTTAATGTAAGCGGTGAAGTAGTGAAGAGCCTGATGAAATAATTATTAGTAAAAATATTGTCTACGTAGGTTCTCAGTCTCTCAGGTCAGTTGAGTCGAGGGGAACTGGACCGTCCTGGCTTTCTGAAGATGTTTTATACATTAAAAAGTCTCGTCAGCGGAAAAGTGAGACAAAGTGAACAGTACTTCATCTGATGTGTGTGTTAATGAAACGTCCACAGCGTAAATATGCCACTGTATACATGTAGTGAGGGCAGACTGATGAGGGTGATGACGGGGCCGTCATTAAAGATGGAGGCGCGCTGTCAGATCCCAGGTGATGACAGAGAATGAACTGACAGGAGTGGTAGCAGCGGTGCTTTAGGATCAGAGGAGTAAAGCAGTGATGTAGGCCAACGCTGCTGAGAGAGGGTCCTGTGTTGGTGTAGGACGCGTGCTGACACTTAGCTTCTCTGGCAGGAGATGAGAAGACGCGCCTTATGGAAACACCTGGACTCGCTCACTGGGCCAATATGAGATGCCCTTTGTAGGGTATGTTTTAGGAATTAGCAAGTGAGAAAACGCAGACGACACATGTCATCGTCTGATCCTTGTTAATTTAGTCGATAAGATCGATGACGACAAAACCAATATGCATACGAGTGTAGCAAAATATCCTGAACAGAATACAGCAACTTTATATAAGGATCTTTTGGTCTATATGTAATATATATAAAAAATATATATTTATATGCATACACATATTTCATATATGTATATGAATATATGCACATACACACATAAATATACTGTATATAAATATATAAACACATATACACATACATATATACTGTATATATATTTTTATATATGCATATGAATATATATACATACATAAATATATACACACATACATGCACATATATACATATATATATATTTATAGGGGATAAGGGATATTTATATATTCATTCTATCGTAACAGCTGAATTTGCGATGCACCAAATACTGCAGTCGGTGCCTCATAAACAACTGCGCAGTATTACGAACAAGACCTCGTCAGATGAGGAGTTGCACGGACTGCAGTCAGATCTTCGGCTGGTGCAACAGAGAGACAGACACAGGCTGCTGTTTATTTAAAAGCCTCCACTCAATCATTCTATCTGTTCTACCCTCTGCATAGGCATCGTCCAACAATAACAACGTCTGACGGACCGTATCTCCGAGCCCTGTGTGAGACCTTTGATCTGCGCTGGACAGAAACCTCATCAGGTAGTGATGGGAGGATGAACATTCTTCATTTCACTTTTTATTATTCAACTGGTTCCAATGTGCTGCATTTGAATGAGGGTGAATCATCAATCTGCATTTGTCTTGGCCGGCGACCTGAGAAAACTTTTCACATCACACCTCGGGCAGAATCTCTTAGCCCTTCCTACTTCTCTTTTTTTGGTATTTCTATGAACAAAAAACAAGATGCCGTAAAAGCCACGTTGATAACCTTGACCTTTAAGGATTAGGGCTGGAGGCAGCTACAAGAGCGGTGTCATAACTCAGCTGCTGTGTCCACTTTGAACATGTTCTCCAAGCTGTGTGTCTGCGTAGGTCAGAGCAAACTGGTAGAAGGAAGGCAGCTAATTTAAAACGACAGAGGGCTCTTTTTATTCTCCGGGGCTTTGTCTGTCTTTAATTATTAAAAAAGAGAGGCCGTACTACCAGCTCTGGACTGCCCAGTGTTTGATGCCTTTTAAATGCAGGCCTGCTGACAGATTAAGGCCGGGAGCAATGTGTGAGTATGTGTGATGCTCATGACACCGCATGAATGCTAATACTGATAACACAGCTATTCATGAATGTGCAGTTTGAACGGGCTTCTGGTGCTGATGATCTCGACACACATAATGTACATGTAAGGATGACGCTTTGAGAGTTGCATGAGGGGAAAGGAGACTTTGTACAGTCTTCAAATCTGTGACTGTACATCTTCAAAAAAACCTACAAAAATGAGATATTTCCTGGAGCGCTGATTAAACTTTACATCAAATTTAATGAGAATGTCATTGAAATATAATGCATTTTCCCAACTTGTATTGCGAAGTGACTTATATATCAAATATAAACCTGTTATCATCAATAGCCACAAGAGGGCGTCTTTCCTTATTGTTTAAGAAGCTGAATGTAACATATAGATCAGTGCAATCTATTAATGTTTTTTTTCTCTTCTCAATACATAATTTTGACTTGGAAATAAACTCAACACTGCCTCTAGAGGTTGTGTTGCTTACAGTACCAACCATGCCAAATTATAGGACATGGGAATATATGGGCAGCGACACTGGAAACTGATGTGGCTTTTAAGTGTGTTGGTAACGGCACAATCTGAAGCCAGCGAGGCCATAGCTGTCCTAGAAAAAGTGGAATGGCAGCAGCCAAAACAGCTGGACTTTACATCTTGAGATTGATGTTCAAGGCATTTCTGCGACTTTGGGCTAATTTGGAACAAGTTCATAAAAACAAAAAGTTTACCACAAAAGAACAGTAAGAACTGCTTTTAAATATAAACACACGCCGAACTTTGAAATCCCCAATAAAAAACGATTAGCATAGACTCATACCATAACACGAGATTGTTGCATTAGATTAGTGTAAAAAGGTCAATGTAAGAGTAAAGCCTTCACATAAGAACACAGATGTTTATCACTGCACTCACAGCGGCCTGTGACCGATGATTATACTCTGCCTCCATCTTCGCCAGCCGGTGGTTGGTGTCGTCCAGCAGCTCCTGGATGTTGCTGGTGTGTTTCTTCTGTAATTCAAACTTCTCCTGCTCCATCTCCGTCACGGCAGCGTGCAGCTGGAGGAGCAGAGGTTAAATCCACATTAGTCACAGATTCTCACTCTGATTCTGCCTCATTTAAGAGCTATAATCATTACTATGCAGCTATGTGTGTTTTCCTGTTACATCTGAGAGTGAGAGAAGAAAAAAAAGAAATAAAAAACTGTTGCACAGGATTGCTCATCACACGCCAAGTGAACCTGAAGAGAATTTCATTAAGATCTTACTGAAGCCAAACAGCTTGAAAAGTGCGTGCTATTAGGATTGAAAACACAATTTATCCAGCGTGGAGAGCATTAATATTTCAACAGTATGATGAAAAAAAAAAAAAAAGCTCTCACTGCTGAAGCACAGCATGAAAAATAGAGATTTTACTGCATGCAAAGAAGTCTGCTCGTCTCATGCTATCAAACAGTCTCCGTGGCTCTGAGCTGCAGACTTTTCTGAGCCGTCCTCCTGCTCTTCATACCTTCTTCTCCCACTCGTTTTGCAGGGAGTCTGTGTTGTGATCCACCATGTTCTTCAGCTCGGCGATCTGTTTGTCTTTGCTCTCACAGATGACCTGAGATTCACGCAACACACCCTGAACTGTGGGAGCCGACACACAAACACATGACGTTAATGGTTTCATTATCATTTTTAACCGATCGCTGCACTCCCGTTTGGATTCTCTCTGTCAAGCAGCGATGCTCGACATTACTCTGTGGTCCAGGTGAGGGAGCACGGACGTGTTGTGTGATTAGATTTTGGATGGAGGCAGAGCAGCTGGAGAACGTCAGGCTCCACTCACACCGGCTCGTGTGGAACCGCATCTTTTTTGGCCCTTTTTGCCGTGAGTGTTCAGAGACACTCGTGTAAACACGTCGGCCAGTTCACCCCGCGTTCTCGCGACCCCCTCACCTTTCCTCTCCAGCTTACGAATCATCTCCTCCGAGTCTTTCAGCTTGGCCCGGTACGAGTTCTTCAGCTCCTCAATCTCACCATTCTTTCGTTCAAGAATCTAAATAGAAGAGAGATGTGATCAAAACAGGCCGAGGGGACACTTGATTTTTACAAACACGTACAGTTTTCACAGGTATCGTGACCACCTGTGACAGTCAATGATTTATTATTGACGAGAAAGTCAACGACCTCATCAACATTTTTTTAGACCAAATATTTTTCTCTGTGTGAGAACATTCTGACACCGTTCTCGTCTCTAATCCTAATCTGACTCCGACTGGTAAACCGAGTCAAACGATGAGTGTGTGAATCCACCTGTGTGGAGGTGCAGCGGTGCGACTGCTTCTGTCTGCCACTGCCATCTGTGTGTAATTAGTTAAATGAGACCATGGAGAGTTGGAGCTGCAGCGTGTTAGGACTGTTTAGCTCACTGCAGGTCAGGAAGATGAAGCTGCTTTAACTTCTTAATATCCATGTGAGTGTTAGTAGACCATCACTGACATACACACCGTCCGCTGCAGTAGGGTTTAGAAACTGACATGTGCCACAGTGAGTGATGCTATCATTTTCAGGCTGATACCATGAACGATGTTATGAGTGCTTATTTTTCTCCCAAATTTTACACTTCATTTCTGCAGCACTTTGTTTTGTGCGGGGTTTTTTGTCACCAAAGTGCACTTCAGCCATCAGGCCAGTGTGAATGGGAGAGCAGAGATGAAAGGAGCGCAGGACCACTGGAGTAAAGTTCACAAAATGTTTTTAAAAAAAATACTTTTCCCCCACCATTTTCAACATTTCAGTGAGAGATGGGAGACAAAGTATTGTCTTTTTAAGGGTCTCCAAACTAAAAAAATGTCATTTCCAGAGGAGAAAGCAGCAGGCGCTGGGAAATGACGGCTTTCAGACTGTCAATTTTAGGCTTTTATAAGACGTCTAAATGCAGGGGGAGTCCAGCCTGGCTCTGACCAGAGTCTTTAGTTAATAAGTTAAAAAGAGCCAAGCTGGAGGAGTAAACACGTCCAGCAAATATGTAGTATTAACGTGAGTACTAGGTATGAGTACTAGGTATGAACAGACAGAGAATAAAACATAGATGAGAATGATGTTTCTTATGGCACATCTTCACATTTAAGAACAAAGAAATAAAAGCAGCAGGACTTTAACAATACATGTATATACACAAAATATATGTATATATATATACACACATATGTATATAAATATATACAAATATACACATATATATCTATATATATACAGCATGTATATATATTTATAAAAACATATTTATTTATTTTTTGTGAATACAGATTATTTGTTTTAGTCTTTCTTTTCCTACCAAACATGAACCAAACCACGGCTGTCCTTTACCGTTACAAAACACAAAGATGGACGTTTCCATCTGAGGTCTACAACCACTGACATGGTTCATTATCTCGTTCTCTGTCTGCTCTCCGTCCGAGGTACAGCAAAGAACGACCAGTTTTCATAATTCATAAAGAGACTAATTAAAGCTCAATCTTAGCTTTAGCATCCTTTCATCACAGTCATTAGTGAACACTTTACAATCACTGCTCTGTGAAGCCATTACAGGGAACACTGGGTCATTTTTTGACAAAATTAAATTGGACATAACTTGCAATCTGTGTGTAATTAAAGAGCCTTGGAGAGAAGGGGGGGTGGGGGTGTCATCCTGGCTCTTGTCAAATACAAAGAAGTCACTGGCGTCTTTAAGTGGAGAGAAAATTGGAGGGTTTTTTTTTTTTTTTTTTTTTTTCCGATTTTTTAAAAGTTTCTGTGGCAGGAAAGGAAAAGGGCCCCAGCAAGCTGGAGGAGTAAACACGTCCAGCAAATATGTAGTATTAACGTGAGTACTAGGTATGAGTACTAGGTATGAACAGACAGAGAATAAAACATAGATGAGAATGATGTTTCTTATGGCACATCTTCACATTTAAGAACAAAGAAATAAAAGCAGCAGGACTTTAACAATACATGTATATACACAAAATATATGTATATATATATACACACATATGTATATAAATATATACAAATATACACATATATATCTATATATATACAGCATGTATATATATTTATAAAAACATATTTATTTATTTTTTGTGAATACAGATTATTTGTTTTAGTCTTTCTTTTCCTACCAAACATGAACCAAACCACGGCTGTCCTTTACCGTTACAAAACACAAAGATGGACGTTTCCATCTGAGGTCTACAACCACTGACATGGTTCATTATCTCGTTCTCTGTCTGCTCTCCGTCCGAGGTACAGCAAAGAACGACCAGTTTTCATAATTCATAAAGAGACTAATTAAAGCTCAATCTTAGCTTTAGCATCCTTTCATCACAGTCATTAGTGAACACTTTACAATCACTGCTCTGTGAAGCCATTACAGGGAACACTGGGTCATTTTTTGACAAAATTAAATTGGACATAACTTGCAATCTGTGTGTAATTAAAGAGCCTTGGAGAGAAGGGGGGGTGGGGGTGTCATCCTGGCTCTTGTCAAATACAAAGAAGTCACTGGCGTCTTTAAGTGGAGAGAAAATTGGAGGGTTTTTTTTTTTTTTTTCTTTCTTCCGATTTATTAAAAGCTTCTGTGGCAGCAAAGGAAAAGTCCCACAGAGGACGTGACAGATCCCAGGTGCTTGATCTGCAGCCTAACTGATAGGCACCCAGTGTGAAAACACGGCTTGGATGCTATTTTAAAAAGCTGACAAAGGGCCTTTGATGAGATGATTATTTGTGCAAGGCGGCTGTGAGGGTAGAGCTCGCTGCTTTTCCTTTTCATTAGCCACCAAATGGGATCAAGAGACAGAGACAGGCCTTGGTAACACAGGTTAATCGTTTCCATGAGCACTCCAGCTCCACTCGCACGTCCGACTGGACACAGAGGGAAAACTGTTTTTCAATTGAAACCCAGTTTATAGGCCGGGACTGACGCTGTGAGTTTAAGTGTCTCAAATACGTCTAACCACAAATGACCGTGACTGAAGAAAGTCTATGACTGTGATGCTATGTTCTGAGTCTGATTGGATTTTTCTACAGGAGCAAATGGTAAATGCTGTAACATACGGCAGTGATTTTCAACTTCTGTGAAAATGTATTCACATTCACTGCAATTCTTTGACGGACTCAGAGTTGTTGATGAAGATGTTTGTGTGCGTCTTTCTCCGTTCTTACTTTTTCAACATCTGCATCGTGTCTCTGCTGCATCTTCAGTTTCTCCTCCTGGTGCTTGGACTCCAGCACTCTGACCTTCATCTCGATCTGGAAACACATCGAAGCCAAACACCGGCTGTTTAGTTTTTCACAGTTCGTTTCAGTTTTATGAGTTTTTATTCCTAATCCTGATCAGAGCTTCAGAGTAACAAACTGGACGGAGATGGAGAAGATACAATATGTCTGTGAACATGTATTTTATTTCTTAAAACCATAGCAGAATTATTTTGACTATTTAAAGTTTACTTTTAAGCTATTTTTTTATTTCAAATTAGCTTCATGTTGCTAAAGTATTAGCTTGTCCAACCTTTAGCCTTTTGAGCGCTCCTCTTTTAGTTTCCCAAACATTTCTCTCATCATCTGACATAAAATGCTGTCATAATCTGCCCTAATGAGATTAAACAGTCACTTGTGTAAAAATAATGTGAAGATTAAATGAGCTGGTAAAATACAAAATGATCAGTTTAGTAGTTGACCCTTTGGTAAATTCACATTTTTTATCAAAAGTTTGGACAGACTTTGGACACTTCTGATCTGTCCTTTTTTTTTTTTTTTTATCGACTCTCTACCAGTGACATATTTGTGGTCGCAGACACATGAAAAACAAAAAGAACCTTTGACTCAAGTGCCCTCAGCCTTACAGCAGCAACTCATGTTTAGTCACAGTCTGCTCCGGTGTGTGTGATTCCGCCCTGCAGCACAGTGACGCGGCAGTCTCTTTGAAAGCGCGGCTGTGTGTGAACATGTCATCGGTGAACAACATGCAGGACTTGCCCTTGTTTGTTCTAAATCGTCAAAACCAATTTGCAGACAATTCCCACGGCTCTCCTCGCCACAGTCAACACACATCGGGCCTTTTCAAAGGACAGCAGCCGCTGTGAAACATGAGTTTATGAGCGTACGGCTGACGTGTCAATATTGATTCTGGGCCTGTGACTGACTGGTTTTATAATCAGTCGTTTCTATTATTACTTCTACAAATACTAGCTTAATTACTTCATCCATCAAAAACATCACGGATGGGTGATTTCCAAAAAATAATGACATCACTGCAATGACATGTGCCTTTTTTCCAAAACGAATGTTAAATATTTGACAAGCAACGGAATTTAATTGCAACCTATTTACCGTGAGGACACAGACTGAATTAACAGGAGAGGTTACGACACGGTCAAATTAAAATTGATAATGGACTTTTCCTCACAGCACGCCAGCTGTCTGTAATGGGAGACACATCTGGACTGCAGGACGGACAGACAGGCACAGTCAACTTTTATCAGTTATGCAGATGTTTGTCAATAGTTCCATCATCTACACAGACAAGGTTCATGACACCGACTCATCTCCGTACCATCGCTGACGCTGCTTTTGATTCGTTCGTGTTTGTAACAGTGTGGAATCTGCTTAATAATAAATCCTCGACAAAGACGCATCAAATATTTTCCTCTTTTTCATTTGTCTTTTTTACCTCCACCTTTCAGCAAATGTCTTCAAACAGTCCTGAAAAAGTTTGTCAAACTAGATCAGAAGCATTTCAAACTTGGAGTCAGCGAGGTAAAGGGTGAGGAGGAGGAGGAGGAGGAGGAGGAGGGGGAGGAGAAGTGTCATACACCTCATACTTCTAAGACGTTTTCAATCACACTTACTGGGTGGTACAGCGTTTTCCCCGCTCTTCTTTTCTTTAGCATTATAGAGAAATGATAGAGTTTTTTTTTTTAACAATTCACTCTTTAAAAAGAATGTGAGGATCAAAAGGAGCAGGAAAGGAGGTGGAAGGAGTAACTCTGTCTGCTCTAGGAGGAGTACAAGGTTAAGGTCTTCGTCCTATTGTACTCTGGTTGGTCCATATTGATGGTTCCTGACACACATAATAGAAGAAATAATAATCTGGTATCAAAGGAAGAAAAACATAAATAAGAAATATATATATCAATAATGACCTCAAAATTACACATTAAATTACCACAAAAACTAAAACCTAAGGTGAAAAGAATGCAAATAACTGCCTGTTTCTTTTCAATATATCTAAAAAGAAATAAAGTAAGGAAAAATATAACAAAAAAGCTATAGGTTAGCCAAGATAAATGACGACATGCCAATAAAATTAAAATTTTAAATAAAAAAAACATTTTTTGTCGAAATAAAACTAAAACTCAGAAATATCTAAACGACTTCTCAACATGGTTTCCTCAGCAAACCTCTGCGCCTTCCATTAAACCAAATAATAATGGCAATAATTATTTTCAAGGCGACTGAACTTGGCGGCGCTGATGTGTTCAGCACAGGTGACGCTGACGCTGTGACAACTGTGAGAAGACTCTTCTGAGGAATGATAAATTTACATTCCTACTCCACAGATCTGTGCGGGGCACGTCAGCCGCTCCGAGGGAGGATCAAACGGCGTGCGATGCTGCTTTCATGTTGTCACATTAGCACTGGTGTCGCTACATTCACTTGACAGCAGCGACTGTTTGGACAGGAGTGTGTGAAATCCACACATGCAAATCATCCGTGTCAGTCGCAAACCCAACTTTGTTTTAACAACTCGGTAAACACGGCCATATTTGTCCACCGTGTTGTAGGTGTATGTGTGTGTGTGTGTGTGTGTGTGTGTGTGTGTGTGTGTGTGTGTGCACGCTGCTCTTCCTTCTTTCCATCCCTTCCTGCCCCAGCTCCCTGCCCCTCTCGGGGGGTGAAGCTGATGTAACAGACTGTCAGTGCTTTCCCAGAGCAGACATGAAAAGCCACAGCTATTACAGCCAAGTCATGCTCAGTTTTATATTTAAGAGTGCGAGTCGAGGCGGATGGTGGATGGGGGGTGAGGGCTGGTTCGGAAAAGCCGGGAGGGGCAGAGGGGACTTCAAAGCATAGCTCCAGAGAGGGGTTTTCGGCCAAATTCCACATAAGGAAGAACATAAATTTAAATGTTTTTAACAATAGTCTGTGGACAAAGATGTTCCTACACTGACAAAGAGTTTTTATACCATAAATCCAGCAAAAATGAAATTGAATACAAGGCATATTTCTATTATATGTCCACAGGAAGTCAGAGAAGGAAATAAAAGCAGCAGGAAATCAATTTAACGGCCAAGATGTTAAACTGGATTGGCAATAAGGAAAATGTTCTAAAAAAAACAACAAAAAAAACATGTAAGCTGCCAAATGTCAATACAGAACAAATTAATAAAAAGCTGTGACTCATAGACTTGTGTTATGTCGTGTCAGTAACAGCACTTGAGCTCCCCTACTGGCCATCCTGCTGTGTTAACTATTCTTCCGTGTTAAACGTCCAACTTTTTCGTGTTTTAAGAGTTCTGATCCATTTTTAGAAAGAGGATTTACCCAAAACACAATTTTCTGCTGGTGAAACAAGGTGTTTACACCGCAGTCATAGCACCCCTGTGAGCGCCCCCCCCCACCATACCTCTTTACTCTGCAACTCCACCAGCTGTAGACCGTGGTCCTCGTCAAAGGTGCTGTTCCTTCCACGGCTTGACTTGAAAATCTATAAATACAGTCAAAGACGGGTAAAAATATAGGTTTTTTTTCAAGGCTATTTTTTATATTCTTTTGTTTGTTTTACACCATCCTAAATAAGTTCTTGTTTATATAAGGAACAAAAGGGAAACCAGTGACTTACCGGAGACAGGGGAATGGGCTTCTCTCGCAAATACCTGGGGTTTTCAATCTGTAAGAGTCAACACAAAAACAGCCTTTAGGCCTCTCGTCTTCCCCTGACACCACCAGACTCTAACCTCCACCCTCATTTTTCATAAACAACGTGAAGGCACATCAAAACCCCGGGTCTGTGGCTTCATTCTTTTCTGTCAACTCCTCTCTGTTTGGAAAGCCTTTTCAAGGGATCGTGTGTGGCCATCTCTGTTTCCGCTCTCGGCCCCTCTTTGCTGTCCTTTTGTCAACACTCACGACCACTAATCTGTAAGTCATCACCATCACATGGAAACCAGTGTGTACACAGCCCTGCCAAACACTGACATGGCATGTTCTTTGATTATAATATGAGACATAAAAAGGCCCAAACCACCTGAAAGCAAAAGGGTCACGCTTCAGTTGACTCTAAAGCGTCACATATGTAGCGCTCGCTAAACTAAACTGCTAACGGAGTGTGTGCTGCGCAACCTGCTATTCTTCCCCCTGCACTATCTGACAGTTGTTTGTGACCCTGTTACTCGTGAGCAAAGTATCGTAGCACTTTTCACTGAGGCTCTCTGTAGGGGCTGCCAACGAAAACAAGATCACAGGCTTCAAAGGCAACGGTGTCCCATAAACAGTCCTGCTCCTGATCACTGCCACGTGAGGATAAGTCAGAGAGGACTGCCATATGTCCTGTGTGTATGGCATATTCGACAATAATGTTGACTTTGATTTTGACAAACACAGAGCTTTCTTTATTTGTCCCAAAGTGAAGACAAAGATTTTTATTTGATGATTTATAGTGTTTTAAATAAAGTTCAATGGAGGGAAAAAGGTATCAAACCACTGGCATGGAGAATCTGCTTTATATGTCAGAGGACCATGGGAGAAACTCCACTGCTCCCATTAAGAGGTTTTTTTCTTCGAGGAAGTGCCTGAACCTCCCAGTGTTATTCTGATGCTCAGCGTAGCATCAGTAGCACTGGCCACTGTGTGATGGATTGTGTCTTAAATACAGAGCTGGCAGAAAAATGTGTATTTATCAAGTGAAGAATCAATCAATATCCACAGGAGAACGGGACGTCTTTTTATACTCCTGGACAGCCAGTCATCAGACTTGATTGAGCGCAGACCGCAGGGTAAAAAAGACATGTAGACCGAACGCTGCGGTGCGACGCTGACACAGTGTGTACGATGCTAAACTTGGACAACTGTGGACGTCCATGTCTTTCGGTGCATCTGCTGCCTGCCCACACACTGAGACGCTGCTGCGAACGGACGGCGCTGGCCCAGCAGACGCCGTCCTTTTAGAACCTGACGTGGATGAATGGACGGACACAGGAGAGGAACAACAGCTCACATCACCAGACCTGGTTCTCGGGCCAAATAAACCAGCCGTGATTGATGACTTCCTAGTTTCGAAATGGTGTTGAGCAAGTGTAAGTACAGCCTTGTAACTACAGACCACGAGTGACCAAGTCGCAGGACTAGCATTAAAATGAAATCGATAGGGAAAAAAATAGGCCGAGCTTTTTCTATTTTCTCCTGTCTCTGTGGGTTTTTTTTTTTTTCACAAGCTGGTTCATGTTCGCTGCACCTATCGCCTCTGTGCCTCCAACACACAGACCACAGACTAGGAAAATGATGAAACCAGTGCTGCACCAGCTGACTCAGGGGTTTTCTGCATCTTAAAGAAACTCTTATCTGCCTTTGAAGCAATCAGTTGTCCGGTTCCCGGGCCAAGCCGAACACACACCGACTTACTGTGGACGTCAAAGGAAAGAGAAACTGATGCAAACTGCTGGGAAACATCTAACGCAAAAAACACATACAGAGTTAAAGTGATGCCTGGGCTGTGCTGAAATTTCTGCAGGAGCTGCTGCTCTTTGAGGCATCACATCTATGAAACTTCTGTAAAGTTAAAGCAGGGTTTGTGTGTGTGTGTGTGTGTGTGTGAGAGAGAGTGTGTGAAGTTGTGAAGGTACATCTGTTGATTTGAAAGATGCAGGCTTGAGGGAGCGTTGCCAAGCAACACATTTTTATCTCAACACAGACGAGTGCAGAGTGGAGCGGTGCACGACTTCACGTCTGCTGATGGAGACCTCAGATTACCCTCTCTTTAAACGGGAGAAGGCAAAAGGGAGAGCAGCGATAAGAGTGGGAGAAAACTAAATTGATATGAGAGGTGGCTGTGGGTGAGACGCTCTGCATAAGACTGAACACCACAGGGGCCGTCCCAGCAGTACTGGAGTATGTGCAGTATGGTGTGTAGTATATACAGCTGATGGAGTGTACTGTATGGAGGGATGTGAGCAGGTAACAGCAAGAGAAGGGCTCTGAGTGTTGAAGGCTATTTACAAAAGGAGTGAAAGACAGAAATGGAAGCGCAGGCAGTACCGGTGAAAATGAATGGATCCAACCGTTGACTGTACTAAAGTGAGCAGTGAATGTAGGCCAGAAATGTCCCCCTGGTTTCAACAGTCAAATTGCATGACTGGAAGTCTGTGAGGAAATCAGGGCTATTTCTCACTCAAGTCAATGGTTAGTTGGTTCAAGGTTTCCTTGTTTGTCCGAGTACAGTATTTGCGTACAACAACATTTTTGTTGCCCTCGGAGGAAAAGGTAGAACATACATTTTATATAAAGAGAGAATTTTTCCTAAGAACCCAATTTTTTAAATGTTAATAAATGATCAAATGACATCTTTTTTAACTCTCCACATAGACAAAGATTCATTTCTCATCATGATCTCAATCACTTTATGTTATTTTTCTCCATTGCTCCAGCCAGTGATTTATGATTTCTCTGTCATAAAGGTTGTTCAACGTCCAACAACACAGAAAACACCTTTGTCAGACAATTGTTGGACTTCAATGATGAATGACAGAACCTGTATTTATTACAGGACGACTACTGACGAAGACCATAAACCTTGGAGGAAATATTTATTGACAGTATAAATCAGATGAAACGTTGACTCAATGAACCAACGCCAACTGACTGTGACCATGTTTTATATATAATCTCTGCGTGTAAGAGAGAGAAAAGGAGAGAAAGCGGCTTCTCTAAAAGACAACGCCAGGCTGTAACGTGGGAGGAATAAGAGGTGAGGCAGAGACAAATAAAAAGTTTAAAAAAAAACAAAAAAAACAAGACAGAGACTATGAGTGGGGAGTGGGTGAGGAGATAACAAATACAGAAGAGAATAAAAGACATGAGGGCACAGAGCTTATCAAACCCTGGTCTGGTTGCACTCCAGACAGATATCATCAAAAGCTGAGTTTATACAACCCTTCACCCACTCTTCCTCACCCTCACGTCCCACAATAGCACTGAGCCTCAACTACAGGAAGTGGTTTCAAGAGGACATAAGTGAAGGGGACGCAAACAGGACAAAGTAAAGGCTCTGATCAACTTTCCACGGCCGCCAGCCAACTGACTCCAGGTCACATGACCGCCGTGATCCGACAAACGTGTAAAACGAGTGACCACGGGCATTAGCTTTAGCAGCTAGAGCTAGCACAGTGTATCTTACAGCAAGCAGATGAGAGGAAGAGTATTGTCAGAATAAAATAAAAGGTAGAAAATGAACATATCCCACAAAAACAGCTAAACGTTAGCCAGATAGAGATAAAGGTTAGCTCTTAAATTGCCCAAGGGAGGCGATAAAGGTCATAAAGGTCGATGTTATGTTATTCATGTAGCACAAACACACACACATCTGTACAACTCAGTATGGAAAGTAAAAAATAAAACAAGGCTGTGATTTCGATTTGAACGTGGGGCTCAGTGAAGATCAGCTGCTCTATGTTGACATGTTTATATTTGAATGACAGGTCCAGCCACACCCCCCAGACTCACCCCCAGGTTCCAGCTGTTAAGACGAGCCTCGAGGTCGGTGTCATCATGAGACAAATCCGCCTTCAACTCCCCCTCCACCTGAGTAGAAAAAAAACAGCAGAGGCAGAGACTTAGTAAACGGCGGAGGAGACGAAATGAAAGAAAAGGGAGGGTTGACAGAAATTAGGGGAAGGAATTTTAAATATTTCTGACAGCACTTTGGTATTTTGGCCTGAGGGAGAGAACAACAGACAGTGATGGAGGTTATTGTTTTGACAAAATATAATTGCTCTCCTGGCAACGATTAAAAGCTTCTTTAAGAGCTTACAGACGTTCATACGCCCACATGTGTTCCCATCACATCCAAACACCGTCCTACTCCCTCGTTATCTCCGTTTCTCCACCCTCCGCTCCCCCTCGCTCTCCTCCCTCACACGTACAACACTCCAGATGTTTGGCAGTTCCACATCATTTCCGTCACGCAGTAAATTCCACAGGAGGGTCATACGCAGCCCGTCATACTTGTTTTCCCCCGTCCTCTTGTTACAAAGGGCCTCTGGGTTTGTTTTATACAGTAATAATAGAGTTGAAACGCCAGCGGGGCGTCTGTTGTTGATTCAAGGTCGGTTTACTCAAGTGGAGTCGCAGCACAAAGGTAGGAAAGAGAGGGAGGAATCAATGATGTGGAAAACAGAGAGGTGTCGTCAGTTAGATGAGGATCTGCTGGAGTGTGTGGACGCCGGGTGGACCTCGCTCCGCCTGCAGTGACACGGGCAACGAGGCCGAATGGAAATAGCCACGGCTTAAATGTCTCTGTCTGATTATGGAGGCATTCAGGTCCCGGAGCCTCAGCTTTGAACAAACACGGTCAAATGTTTCATTTCAACATCAGGAATGTGGGGTATGCAGATCAGCGTCTGTTCAAAGCCGCGTGTCGCAGTCTCTGTATCGCAGCAG